AACGCAAAAGTTGGGAACAGGGAAGAAGAATCAGTAGTTGGACCAAACTAGATTGAGAAATATTGAAGAAAAATTGATGCCTTTGTATTCTGATGTTGGTGAATAATAGTAAATATACCACTGACTTCCAGAAAAGGAGGGGGGAATCCCATTTTGGAAGATAAACAAGGAGAATTTTTTTAAATTCTTTATTTCATTTTTTAGAATATTTCTTAGAAGTAAAGATGATGAGACTTTGTCTCATGTGTTTTGGACATTTTGCAGAAAAGACCAGTCCCTAAGGTAAAGTAGAGAGTCAGTGAAAAGGAGGAGGGCCCTCAACAGGATTGACTTGCATTGTGGCTACAACAATGAGGCCAAATTTAGCAAGACTATGATAATGGCACAGGACCAAGTAGTGTTTTGTTTTATTGTACTTGAGTCCCAGTGAGTGAGAACTGCCTCAATGGCACCAAACAACAGAAACAGGCTTCCCAGAGGTTGAAAGTGGTGGCAGAGAAGATGAAGGGTGTGTTGCTGACATGTTAGAAGGGAAACAGATCTGGTAATTTTAACAGTAGTCATTTGTTAAATATATATGATAAATATAAACATATAAATATAAATGATAAAGTTTTTAATACAGAATGTTTACTCTACTGTGCTAAAAAGTTCTCATTTGGGATGGCATTCCATTTTCCAAAAATTGTGGAATCTCGAATTTTGTTCAGGGTCATAGAGCCAAGCAGGAGCAAGCTAAAGTGCTGCTTTGGCTCTGCTCTATTCTCTCGCTAAGGCAGTGCTGCTCAGTATAAACAGAATACCAGCTACGTATGTATTTTTATGTTTAAATTTTGTAGTAGATACATTAAAAACTATACCTAATAATTTATTTTATGTTTATAGTCTCAAAAGTATTGCCGACAGATACATAGTAAAATATTCTAAGGCTCTTTTTCTCCCTAAGTCTTTGAAATCCAGTGAGTATTTTATATTTCAACTCATCCTAGCCCCAATTTCAGTTGTTCATTAGCCATAATAGCTGCTAGATTCGTATGCAAAGCATTAAATTAATTAGACTCAAAGTGGAACTATATTTCTTACAGATAAAAGTGTTTCTAGAACCTTCCTAAACATTCCACAGTCTCTGACTTTAACAAAAGGATAAGAGAAAATTTTTGCACTATCTCTTTTTTTAAAAAAAGTCCTTCCAAAAAAAAATGAGATGATTTTGGGAAAGGTGAGTGCTGAAAAGAATATTATCCATAATATCTCAAAATATAACATCAAATTTACTTCATTGTTTTGTCTTGTAACATATTATAACATGGAAAGAAAAGACCTTACAGAAGCAGTTTGATTTGATTTAATTTTAATGTAAGGAGGAGGGTTTTTCTGCATTTCACTATGATGAACTGGTACACTTTAAAATTTTCATAATGTTGGCTATAGTCCCACTTTACAGAAATATGGAAGAAGTTAGTTTGAGCATTTGTTGTTGTTGTTATGTGCTGTCGAGTTGCTTGCGACTCATGGCGACACTATGTACAACAGTCCTAAACTCTACTCTATCCTGTGCCAATCACACCATCTCTGATACACCCATCCCAATTATCCCAGTGACTGAATCAATCCACCTCATAGAGGGCCTTCCCCTCCCACGCTGTCCCTCCACCCTAACAAGCATGATGTCCCTCTCCAAGGACCAGTCCCTCCTTACAACATGCCCAAAGTATGTTAGACGGAGCCTCAGGATCCTTGTCTCCAAGGAGCCGCCTGGTTTGACCCTTTCCAGGAAGAATCTGTTTGTTTTCCTAGCAGCCATGGTACCCTCAACACTCTTCTCCAGCACCACAGCTCAAAGACAGAAAGAAAGGAAGAAATGGAACGCATAAATATTGACATCCTAGGCATTGGCTAGATGAGATGGACTGGAATGGAGCATTTTGAGTCGGATGATCATATGATACATTACTCTGGAGATGAAAAGGTGAGAAAAAACGGAGTTGCTTTCATAGTTAAAAAGTCATTGCTAGATCCATCTTGAAGTACAATATTGTGAATGACAGGATAATATCCATATACATACAAGGAAGTCCAGTGAATACCATTATCATTCAGATATATGCACCAAAACCAGAGCCAAGGAAGAGGATATAGAAGATTTTTACCAACTTTTACAATCGGAGATCAATCAAACATGCAGTCAAGATGCATTGATAATAATGGGTGATTGGAATGCAAAAGTTGGGGACAGAGAAGAAGATTCAGTAGTTGGAAAACATGGACTCTGTGACAGAAATGGAGCAGGAGAGAGGATGATAGAATTTTGCACAATCAATGACTTATTCAAAGCAAATACATTTTTTAAGAGACATAAGCGTAGATTATATACATGGATTTCACCTGATGGCATGTATAGAAATCAGATCTATTACATCTGCAGAAAGAACCACTGGAGAAGCTCAATATCAGCTATGAAAACTAGGTCAATTGCTGATTGTGTAACAGACCACCAACTACTCATATGCAAGTTCAAGATGAAGTTGAGGAAAATTAAACCAAATCCCCG